GGATTTTTAAAATAACATTTCTGTAAGTCTGGCACATTAATATTCCCTCAAGCTGTAGCATTTATTTTAGTCTGCATATATTTTATTGTTTTAATTTAATGTAATATATTGAGTCTAATAGACTGTTTTACAATAATTAGAATAAAAGATTTTCTTCTAATCAAAGATGAATTAACAGCTGTTATCTAGGGGACCACTAAATGTGATTTCAAGATTTCGTTAACTATTACAAATATAATCCTTATATAGAAATTTTAATTTTGTAAAGTAGTGTATAATATTGTAACATTAAATTCTTGTTTTCAAATTCAAAAATGTATTGATCTTCAATGTGCTGTGTTAAATCTTGCTTCTCTGAAACGTTAGAGACAAGATGTCTTCCTTTTTACAGTTTGTAATTTTCACTGTTTTATTCCTATAAAAAAAAAAGTCATTTGTAACCCATGCAAATAACCGTTTGAACTGTGCTAACTTATCAATTTGGCTATTCAATAAAGTTAATTGAAAGAGCTAACATACTGTGATTAGTTATTTAAATTGGTATGAATAACTTGACAGTCACTGAGTAGTGCTATGTTTTGCACCCAAATTAAGTAAATGGAAAACTATTGCTGAAGGTTCTTTAAACCTGAGTCAGTGTCTGGGAAGTCACAATCCAAATTCTGGATGCTCACTCTTCAAGAACAGCTAGGTTTAAAATATTAGATTGGGGGCTTCCCTGGTGGCACAGTGGTTGAGAGTCCGCCTGCCAATGCAGGGGACATGGGTTCGTGCCCCGGTCCGGGAAGATCCCACATGCCGCGGAGTGGCTGGGCCCGTGAGCCATGGCCGCTGAGCCTGCGCGTCCGGAGCCTGTGCTCCGCAACGGGAGAGGCCACAACAGTGAGAGGCCCACATACTGCAAAAAAAAAATAATTAAAATAAAATTCTAGATTGAAAGCGTTTTCAATTTTTTAATTCTCAATATGTTTAAGATACTACTTCACTGTCTTGTGGACCCTTTTGTTACTGATAAGATGCCTACTGTAAGTCTAATTGTTTATTTGAAGATAATCTGTTAGCTTTTAAGATTTTTCTTTTATCCTTAATATTCTATAGTTTTAATACTCTGAGTTTACTGTTTACCCTGCTTGCTTTTTAGAGCATGCTTTAATCTGGAGATCCTTGTCTATCTTCAATTCTGGAAAATTCTCAGTTACGTTTAAAATTTTTATTTATTTTTAAAACTTAGGTATACTTGACATATATTTTCTCTTAAAATATTTGCTTCTGTCATTCCCTCTATTCTTTTTTTACCTTCAGAATTCCTTTTTTTAAAAAAAATATATTTATTTATTTTAAAATTTATTTTGGCTGCTCGGGTCTTAGTTGCGGCACACGGGCTCTTTGTTGCGGCATGCAGACTTCTTAGTTGTGGCATGCGTGAGGGATCTAGTTCCTTGACCAGGGATGGAACCCGGGCCCCGGGAGTGCATTGGGAGTGCAGAGTCTTACCCACTGGACCACCAGGGAAGTCTCCAGAATTCCTGTTGTGACTAATTCCTCTGTGACTACGTCCAGTTGGAGTTTAATCTCATCTATTGATTTTTATATTTGTATAACTAACTTTATTTTTGATTAATTTCTGCCTATTTTGTTCAATAATGTATTAAAATTGTTCTATAACATTCTTTCTGGAGTGAATTCCAATTTTTAATTTGGGTGGCAGAATTTAAATGTTGTATTTCTTCATGTTTGTTAGAATTTGGGTTTCTAGGCTTATTTGATTGGGAGGGTTGTTATTTTCATTTTAGCACATCTCTCTCAGTCCAAGCTTTCCCCCTCCCTGTCTATGGGTTTTCTAGTTGCTTTTTCCCAAAACTAGGGCTCATGGAGGTATTTTAGGGCTCCTGCCGTGATTTGGGGATATCACCATTCCAGTCACCAACAGTGGGAAGTCTAGTTGTTGCCCTCTCTTCTGCCTCTCTGTTTATTAAGCTGAAGTCCAATAGCAAATGATATTTTGAATATTTTTCAGGGATGGCAGCCCTCAAGCAGTGAGTTTGTCCTGTTCATCCCTTTGTCTCACGTGGAGCACTTTCAGGTCCTCTAACACGCTACCATTGCCAGCTTCTGGATCTGCAGCCCAACAGGCACCTGACTTTAGCTCCACTGTGCTGTTTCTGATACTTTGATCTGCTGAGATGTTTCTCTTGTTTTTGAGGCCAGCTATCTTTTTTTTTCCCTTTATGTTTTTTTTTTTTTTTTTTTTGCGGTACGCGGGCCTCTCACTGTTGTGGCCTCTCCCGTTGCGGAGCACAGGCTCCGGACGTGCAGGCTCAGCGGCCATGGCTCACGGGCCTAGCCGCTCCACAGCACGTGGGATCTTCCCGGACCGGGGCACGAACCCATGTCCCCTGCATCGGCAGGCAGACTCTCAACCACTGCGCCACCAGGGAAGCCCCCCTTTATGTTTTTTAAAAAAATATTTATTTATTTGGCTGCATCGGGTCTTAGTTGCAGGTGCACGGGATCTTCGTTGCGGTGTGTGGGCTCAGTTGTTGTAGTGCGTGGGCTTAGTTGCTCTGTGGCATGTGGGATCCTAGTTCCCAGACCAGGGATTGAACCTGCGTCCTCTGCATTGGAAGGCGGATTCTTAACCACTGGACCACGAGGGAAGTCCCTCTCTTTACGTTCTTAACTGTTACTGATTGTTATATGTAGTAGAGAGGTGTCCAAGCATGAACTTACTGTCTATATTTAACCCGAGAATTTGAATTCTACTTTTATTACTTATGACTCAATATGTTCATACATATTTGTCAGTTTGTAGCTACAATTTGTCAATAAAGTATTAATATTAGCCTACCTAAACAATGCTGGGATCAAATAAAAATTATACATAAAACTCATTGAAAATGCCAAGATTTGGCACAAAAGAAAAATTTCTGCAACTATTCAGGTAAATTTAATCTAGAGCTCTCAGTGCTAAGCATGGGGCAAAGTGGTCAATTTTTAAAAATGGAAAAAAAATTTTTTTCAAATTTAAAAATTTTTTAAAGGAATATAAAAACGAGACCAAAAAAATAACACACACACAAGAAAAAGAGATGGAGGTGGGCTTGCCCTTGTAAAGTCTATAGTGAGGGAGACAGAAATTAAGACAAGAATCATTAAGTATGCACATCATTTAGTAAGGAATCATATACCACTGAGAAGCACAAGGAAATTTAATAACTATGGAAACCCCATAGGGAAATGGTTTCCCAGAAATAAGTAAGCATGTAATATGAAATCTTGACACTTTAAATTCTTACCTGACTCCATCAGCCATCATACATCAACACATCTATCAAAATATCCATTTGGTTTCTATATGCTATCTTAAGTGAAAAAAATCTTTTGTCTACCATGGAACTGTATTTGGTCTTGACTCATCAGGATTTTACCTCATCAAGTTGTGCACACTTATCACTAGTACTTAATTATTTCAACTGTAGAAGTTTTTAAGGCACAGTCTGGGCCTCAGAGATGTAGATCTGTACAGATATGCAGGGAAACCTTTTCTAATGCTTTAAAATTACTAGCTAGGGCATGTCCCTGAGATTTAGCTATCATCCAATCAAGGGGGAATGTTCAATGTTTATACCTGAGTTCCTTACGTTGTTGAACCCAAAAGATAAGTTGCTGTTTGTTTTTACACTTTTTTTCATAATCCTTTTCTGTCTGAGACAGGGTCAGATGACTAACAGTTAAAAACAGTATTTTATTACCTTCTATCTAAGCAGGGTTTTTCACCCACTTGCTGACTTTGAGCAGGCTTCATTGCAGGGGACACACTAGGCTGCCTCACCCCCTGCAGCTTCAGGTACGAACTGGCCATGGCGTCCTCTCAGCAAGGGTTGACAAGGGATTTAATTCCTTCATTCATTTACTCATTCACTTAGTCATTACTGTGCACCAGGGCTGCATTATGACTTTTGTGGGCTGTGGATATTTTGCTTTCGTGGGCTCCTTCCTCTATAAAAGCATATTTAAAATTATATTTTATGACTGTGTTAGTATGAGAATGACTACAATCCAGGCTTGATTCATCATTATACAAAAATTATTACTACACTTTTCTTCTGATTTAAAAAAAATATTCAAATAAATGAACTTATTTAGAAAACAGACTCACAAAGAAAACAAACTCATGGTTACCAAAGGGTAAGGGAGGGATAAATTGGGAGTATGGGGTTAACAGATGCAGACTTCCATATATAAAATAGATAAAACAGCAAGGGTTTACTGTATAGCACAGGGAACTATATTCAATATCTTGTAACAAACTAATGGAAAAGAATAATGTAAAAAAGAACATAGACATGTACATATATATATGTCAATATGTATAACCAGATCACTTTGCTGTACACCTGAAACTAATACAATATTGTAAATCAACTATACTTCCATTAAAAAAATTCAAAACAAAACATTTTCTTGGGCCCCTATTGTGGGCCCTCACCATGGCCTAATGGATAAGGCAACCCTGTTAAGCGCTCACACTGTTCTAGGAGTTGCAGCCGTGAACAAAACACATTACTTGTCTTCATGGAGCTTACATTTTAGTAAGAAGCAGATAATAAACACAAGTACATTCAGCTTTCGAGTCGGTTATAACTGTTGAGAAAAGGCACATAAGGAGAATAAGGCGTGTTGAGAGGAGGTGGAAATTTAAATAGAACGGAAAGGGAAGGCGTCACTGGGAAAGTCTTGAACAAAGACACGAGGAAAGCCTGGAACGAACTAGGTGTGTATTTGGTAGTAGCACTACTGAAGATGAGGAATCAGCACCAATAACAAATCCCGACCGCAAGGGTCCCTAAAGCGTCGCTCTCGGAGTTACGCATTCCCGAAGCCTATAAGCGAGGCCGAAGAAGATCACTGGAAACCAGTGCCTGCCGCTGCAATCTCCATTTTACTTCCTGGCACCAGGTAGGAAGAGTTTATTCCTCGCTCCCATACGTTTTCCGTGCGTCAGGCTAGGTGCCGGTTTTCTTCACTTCCGAGGGAACGCCACAGGGGACAGCTGGTAGGGGGAGAGGAGCAACAAGGGCCAGCCCAGGCGGGAGGAACTGAAGCTTCCAGCGATGCCCTCACTCAAGATGGCGGCGCAAGGCTCGCGCTTGGTCCCGTCAGGCGACGCGCGTGCTTAGGCTGCATATGCGGCCAAGCGCTAGGGCAGGGGGCGGGTGCACAGAGGTAGAGGGACGCTTGCTCTGCGGCCCGGCCAGGAGTCTTCGTCGCCGCGGCTCCCGCTGCTGTCACCGTCACCACTCCCGGATTGTGGAGGGGAAGATGGAGCCGGTCACCATCGCTACCGACAGCGGGGACCGGCCGGGGGCCCCGGCGGGCTCAGGCCTGTCGGCTTCCCAGCGTCGGGCCGAGCTGCGACGGAGAAAGCTGCTCATGAACTCGGAACAGCGCATCAACCGAATCATGGGCTTTCACAGGCCGGGGAGCGGCGCCGGTGAGAACCTCCGTTTCCCCACAGTCTCCTGCCCATCCCTTTTGAGTCTTCGGGATCATTCTTCCTTTCCCTTCTCCACTCTGCTGACCTTTTTGACCAAACCCTGCTTTCTGATCTCCCCCTCTGGCCCCGTCCCTTTGATGATATCCCCAGTTCGCACTTCTTAACCCCACGACGTTTCTAGTCTCTTTCCTCAGTTTTCCGGGGGCTCCGCCCTTAGGTTGTCTCCACCTCCGCCGCGGGCTGCGAAACTCTCGCTCCTGAGACCCTCTGCCCTGGTGCCCTTTGCCCAGTTACCCTGAGACGGCCCCCTTCCTCCTTCCCCACTCCCTCGCCTCTCTTGAAGTGCACACATTTTATCCCTAGACTGCTCTGTCTATTGTGCCCGTCGGGAAGATTGCCTGCCTTTATTTCCTTTCCAAATGCTTTCCCTTCCAGTGCCTTCCCTGGCTTGTACCTTCTTTTGCCTTTTGCTGTGACTCTGTCGGCCTGCATGAGCTTGTCTTTACTGAACTGCCGCCTGGTTCTTCCTTGGATCAGAGACTCTTACGGTTAAATCCTAGTGTCTGTGTTCGGTGCTCTCCACACTGTCATCTACAGGTCTTCTTAAACAGGTGAAAAAAATTGGAGGGACCGTTCTCTAGAAACCCAACAAGTGGGACGTGCCCATCTGAGGCCTTATCTCCTAGTGTGCTGAGATTGATGTGAGTGATGTCAGGAACTGCATTTAACACTGAAGAGAGCTCCTCATTTCTCCCCCAATGACATGTACAATGAGTTTCTTAAAATTTTTTTTCATGTGAATATTTACTGAACACTCAGTATGAGCTAGTGTTCTCTAAATTTCCATTGAGCGTTGCCTTTAATATTTGACCTTTAGTCACTGATTGCATGTTCCTTAGATCCTTGTGACTTCTGCTCTGTGGGGCTTTAGATATATAGCTCTGAACTTTTAGACAGTTTACAGGTTTGCGATTGAAAACTGCCAAGAGAGGTAAGAGCCCTATTTCAAATTCTAGAACAATCGTTAGAAGACGCATTTTCCCCTTTAATGATTAATAGTAGAATATTTATTCTTTCCTAAAGCTTCTACTTTGTTATTTTGCTTTGAAATTTTTATTTTATCTGTCATTAAAGGTTTTTTTTCCCCTTTGTTTTGTTTTAAACTGGAACAGCATCTTAAAACTGCTTAAATACCTGCTAATGGCTGCCAGATTACAGTAGGATTACGTAAACTGTAGCTGTAGTATATGCCACACCCTGTGCTGACAGGACTCTGGATTCAGAAATGTAATATTAAAAATACAGATTTAAAAAAATCTCCATCCCTGTCTTTCCCAATTTGTATAATAGCGTTATCTTCTACCTCCAAAGTTTGGGGTATGTCCTCTGAAGGAATACTCTTTTTGACATTTTGAGTGTGTAGAGGAAGGAACTAGTTTGTCTTATGAAGAATCAGTATTAAATTCAGAGGCTGTGAAGTTCTAGCTCTAGTGGCATATTTTTAAATAGTAATAAGAAAGATGTTTGCCAGTATGTAATACTTAAGTCTTCTAAATTTCTTTTCTCAGAAGAAGAAAGTCAAACAAAATCAAAGCAGCAGGACAGTGATAAACTGAACTCCCTCACCATTCCTTCAGTTTCAAAGCGAGTAGTGCTGGGTGATTCGGTCAGTACAGGAACAACTGACCAGCAGAGTGGTGTGGCCGAGGTAAAGGGGACTCAGCTGGGAGACAAATTGGACTCTTTCATTAAACCTCCTGAGTGCAGTATGGATGTAAGCCTTGAGCTCCGGCAGCGCAACAGAGGAGACCTGACAGCAGACACTGTCCAGAGGGGTTCTCGCCATGGCCTAGAACAGTACCTCTCCAGATTTGAAGAAGCAATGAAGCTAAGGAAACAGTTGATTAGTGAAAAACCCAACCAAGAGGATGGAAATACAACTGAAGAATTTGACTCTTTTCGAATATTTAGATTGGTGGGATGTGCTCTTCTTGCCTTTGGAGTCAGAGCTTTTGTTTGCAAATATTTGGTAAGAAACAGTGGAAAATGCAAATTGATTATAATAATGAGTGCTTTTGTAAGATTCATTGCCAACAGTAACTTAATATTTACTAGATTCATGTGGATGTTTGGAGATGTGTTATAAACTGCTATTCGCCTTAGGTATAGAATGAGGTGTTCTGGTTAAATACAGAGCCTGATGATAATTGCTAAAATCTTTCTACATGCTAAGTAACATTCTAAGTGCTTTACATATATTAATTCATTTAACCTCATTCTTGAACCAGGTATCATTTTTTTTAAACATCTTTATTGGAATATAATTGCTTTATAATGGTGTGTTAGTTTCTGCTTTATAACAAAGTGAGTCAGCTATACATATACATATATCCCCATATCCCCTCCCTCTTGCATCTCCCTCCCGCCCTCCCTATCCCACCCCTCTAGGTGGTCACCAAGCACTGAGCTGATCTCCCTGTGCTATGCGGCTGCTTCCCACTAGCTATCTGTTTTACATTTGGTAGTGTATATATGTCCATGCCACTCTCTCACTTCGTCCCAGCTTACCCTTCCCCCTCCCCATGTCCTCAAGTCCATTCTCTATGTCTGCATCTTTATTCCTGTACTGCCCCTAGTGAACCAGGTATCATTTGAATCTGTTTTATAGATGAAGGAATGAAGACTCAGAGAGGTGCAATCATTTGTCCAGGGTCACACTACTAAGTGACAGCTGGGATTAAACCCAAGCACTTTGATTCCAAAACCAAAGAGTAAATTACCTACATATATAGAGATATTAATTACCACTTTTCAAATTTGAAATATTAAAATGCAGTTCCTATGGTCCTGGATGTGATGTAATTTTTTTATGGTTCAGAAGGCATTCTGCATTTTATAGTGTAGTATTATCATAGGAGCAGTCCATTTTTTGTTGTACCTTCATATGCCATGGCTGTTCAGTGAAAGTTGGGATTTATTGGTCCTTTTGTTTCATAGTATGTGGAGGAAAGAAGAAAAGCGTAACAGTGTCTTGCTCTTTGAGGTGTTTCCATTCAGTAGACATTTTAAGAATACCTACCAAGTACCAGCCACATTAAGTAAATTTTCAGATAATTAAGGTTTATGTTATTAAGAAAAAAAGTTTTTATTATTATTATTTTTAAAATTTATTTATTTTATTTATTTATTTTTGGCTGTGTTGGGTCTTGGTTGCTGCACGCGGGCTTTCTCTAGTTAGGGCAATCGGGGGCTACTCTTTGTTGCGGTGCACGGGCTTCTCATTGTGGTGGCTTCTCTTGCTGCGGAACACAGGCTCCAGGCACGTGGACTTCACTAGTTGTGGCTCGCGGGCTCTAGAGCGCAGGCTCCGTAGTTGTGGCGCACGAGCTTAGCTGCTCCGCGGCATGTGGAATCTTCCTGGACCAGGGCTCGAACCCGCGTCCCCTGCATTGGCAGGTGGATTCTTAACCACTGTGCCACCAGGGAAGCCCAGGAAAAAAGTTTTTAAAAGTCTGTTTTTTTAATGGAAATTCCCATCTTTTAAAAAAAAAAAATTAATTTATTTTTGCCTGCATTGGGTCTTTGTTGCTGCACGTAGCCTTTCTCTAGTTGCGGCAAGTGGGGGCTATTCTTTTTTGTGGTGTGCATGCTTCTCGTTGCGGTGGCTTCTCTTGTTACAGAGCGTGGGCTCTAGGCACATGGACTTCAATAGTTGTGGCACGTGGGCTCAGTACTTGTGGCTTGCAGGCTCAGTAGTTGTGGCACACAGGCTTACTTGCTCCACGGCATGTGGGATCTTCCCGGACCGAGGCTCGAACCTGTGTCCCCTGCGTTGGCAGGCGGATTCTTAACCACTGTGCCACCGAGGAAGTCCCTAAAAGTCTATTTTTATGCCAGTTTTTTCTTAAAGAGAATCTGTTGAACAGATTTGATTTTTTTTTCCTGATGATAAATTGGCATCCTAGCTTTCAGCGTTTAGTGAGATGTATAGCTACTTTTTTTGTCTTATCTAAAGGGCTCTGTACTTCCATGCTTTTAAAATTATGTCCTATTTTTGTACCTCATTTCGTGTGAGGTTTTTTGGCTTTCTGGGTGTTTTTTTTGCTGTCAGATTTTCAGCTATTAATCACTGCTCTCACTATTCTTCCATCTAGTAATATTTGCTCCTTCACTCCCTATTTTAACTTTAGAAATAAATGTAAATTAGGTATTATTTTGATCTTTTCTGTTTTATTGTGTGAGAAGTGAGATAACCAAGCCATTTTATCTATAATAAAAACACCTCGTCATTTGAGGGCCAGAGATGAATTCATTCCTTGCCCTGAAGTGTGAGTGAGGTATGTATGGCATCTCTTTTGAGTATTGAGCCTTTTAGGTATGCTTTCAAACTGTCAGTTAATTACCTCTAGATGAGAGAGATGTTACTGCATGATGATTATACATCAATCACCGCTGAGAAGTTACCTTTTAAATTATTTAAAAGATAAGTTTTTAAGAGAGAGGGAATTTTGGAGGATGTTGATAGAATGTGACTTGAGAAACATGTTTTATGTTAAGGAAATCAAATCTCTTTATTTTTGTCACTCTTTTGCAGAAACAATCCTTTCAGCCACTAAAATTAAATATTTTATTACAGTTTTTTTGCTTGGAATTTTATAACTGCTGTTAGTTTGATTTATTGTGATTTGAATGATTATGTTGGAAATATGTAACTTTATCTTCTGTCTTCACAGTCCATATTTGCTCCATTTCTTACTTTACAACTTGCATACATGGGACTATACAAATATTTTCCTAAGGTAAATTAAAATTTTTTTCTGAATTATGGTGATATATTTAGATTGATTAACAACTAGATGATTTTAAGAACTTAAAATTATTTATACTTATGGTCTGAATCAGTGCTATTCAAAGAGTGATTGGCTCACAAGTGCAGATCTTCAAACTATTTGTTTCTGTTTGTAATAAGTTCAGTTCAGAAAGTGAGTAATTAGAAACTTGTATAGCAATATGACATTGCCATAACATTTTTATCATATTTTACAAAAATGTTGGTCCACCATGGAATAGGGGAAAACCCTCATGACAGAGTTTGAATAGTACTTGTCTAAGAAAGTGTTCAACTTAGTTACTTAGTAAGTTTAGTAATACATTTTGTTTTTAACAAAGGAAGTTATTTTTAAAATGGGTTCAGTTATCTTACTGTGCTCCTTACTGAACACTTAATGACAGCGCGCTTTATCTTTAATGCCAAGGGTCTGATATTTGTAAGAAATATTTGGCCACACTTACAGAGCAGAATCATGGGGAGTATCAGTGTTTATCTGGTCAGCTTGACTCCAATTATGCTATACAGTTTTATGGAACTTGCGTTGCCATTAGAGAAGATAACCTTACTTGTGTAATTGAGTTTTTGTGTGAGATTTTTGCTTAAAAATGGCTACTTTACTGTTTGCTTAGTCATTTGTAATGCACTGATAGACCTCATGTGTGTGTTTAATGGGTTTGAAACATATTTTTGAGGGGTCAAATAGTCAAATCCACAAAGTAAAAGAGTAAAGAAAGGTATGTAATTTTATTTATTTATTATTTTATTTTTAAAATAAATTTATCTATTTATTTATTTTAGTTCTGGCTGCTTTGGGTCTTTACTGTGTGCGGGCTTTCTTTAGTTGTGGCGGGTGGGGGCTACTCTTCATTGCAGTTCACGGGCCTCTCACTGCGATGGCTTCTCTTGTTGCGGAGCACCAGCTCTAGGTGCGCGGGCTTCAGTAGTTGTGGCGTGCAGGCTCAGTAACTGGCTCGTGGGCTCTAGAGCGCAGGCTCAGTAGTTGTGGCACACGGGCTTAGTTGCCCCGCGGCATGTGGGATCTTCCTGGACCAGGGCTCTAACCCGTGTCCCCTGCACTGGCAGGCGGATTCTTAACCACTGTGCCACCAGGGAAGCCCTGTAATTTTATTTTTTAATTAAAACTTTTTTTATGATATAGATGTATATTCATTGATCCCCTCCAAAAATGTAATTTTAATTAAAGCATTTGTTTAGAAATTTACCCTTGAAACACTGATTTTAGTTTTGCAATAGCAAAAGTTTGGAAACAACCTAAATGTCTACTGATAAGTGACTAGTTAAAAAAAATTATGGCCTATCCATTCAGAATGATAAAGGTCTCCATGTACTGATAATGTTAAGCTCGCCAAGAAATATTAAGATATAAAAATACAGAATAACATCTATAGTATACTCCTTTTTTTTGTAAAAAGGAGGAAAATCGTATGTATTTCATTTTGCTTGTATATGTGTAAAGAAACTCTGGAAGAATATTACATGAAATTTTTAACGGTGGTTATTTGTGATAGAGTGTGTGTTGGTTACTAGGTAAATGGGGAGAGAAAAGGAAGGGAGATTACTGTATAATTTTCTTTCAACAAAATATTTTGTTGTTAACAGGTTTCAACAGAAAAGTTGAAAGAATTGTGCAGTGAACACCCGTTTATGCTTACCACCTAGATTCTGTAGTGAACATTTCATTATATTTATCATATATTCACCCAATTTTCTATCCATTTTCAATACATCTTTTTTTAATACATCTTTTTTCTTGATGCATTTCAAAGTATGTTGTAGATGAAGACATCAGTATATTTTACCCCTACACATTTCAGTTTATATATATATATATATATATATATATATACACAATTCAGTGTTTCTTTATGGTTATTTTTCGTTATTTTGAGGTAAAATTTTCATACGGTGAAATGCTCAAGTCTTTATTATACCATTTAATGAGTTTTGACAACCCGTGAAACCCAAATCCTTTAAGATTTAGAACATTACTGTCAGGAAGTTCCATCATGTCCTTTTCCAGGCAGTCCCAACCCCTGCACCATGAAGGTCTGATTTTCTTTTTCCCACTGTAGATTAGTTTTGGTTGTTTTAGTACTTATTTTAAATGGGATCATTCCTGTTTGTACTTCTTTGTGCAAGGCTTCTTTCATTCAGCATCATATTTTTAATATTCATCCATATTGTTGAGTGCATAAGTAGTTCATTCTCTTTCTCTCTCTCTTTTTTTTTTTTTTTTTCCTGAGTAATGCTCCAGTTGAGTGAGTGTATCCATTAATTTGTCTAATTACCTATTGCTGGACGTCTTGGTTGTTTCCAGTTTTTGGTTAATATGTCTAAAGCAACAAAGAACTTTCCTGAGTGGGTTTTTTTGTGGACATAGGCTTTGATTTCTCTTGGGTAACTATAGCTTTTTATATTTAAAATGTTTTGAACCATGTGATTGGATTTGGTGATACCAAATCAATAAATTAAATGAAAATTCAGCCTTGAATCTCTTAAAGAATGAGACTAGAAAATTATATTAGGAAATAAATGTTCAGTGATATTCTGCTGCATATGTAAACAAATGTGAATTCGTTTGGATGGCAGTTAGGGCTGACTCTACAGAATGTTCCTTTGATTCTGTTACAAATTATTCACTGTCCTCCAGTACACCTATTACTCTTCTGACTTTTGTTGTCATGAGACTTAACCTTATAATAAGATTTATCTTCTCACTTTTGCTCATCTTAATCTTGCTCATTCTTAAAGGCCTGTTTTTAATTCCACTTCCTTCTGAAATCCTTCCCTGTGCTTTACTTATACGTAAAAACCCTGGAGTAATTTCTGTCTCCTTTGAGCCACTATAGCACACGTCATCCATGTCATTCATTTAGCAATTATTTATGTCCTGTCTGGTAATGCTTTTCCTGTTTTTGTCTTGAGCTTTTGTATGTATCTTAAATTATTATTTATATCTTGCCTCCAAGATAAGACTTTTTTTAAAAACTTTTGATAGCAAGAATGGTGTCTTTTCCCTATTGCCTAGCAGTTTGCTGCTTTACATATTATATGCTCAGTAAATGTTTCTTCATATATTATTGATTGATATTTTGAAACTTCATTAACAGTTTTGAAATCAGTTAGGCAAAAATAGCAGCACTGATGTTTTTATAGAGCTTAAGTAGTCTTCTGAAAGCTGTAAGATTTATTGAAGTCTTTCTCTATGCAGGGTGAAAAGAAGATAAAGACAACAGTGCTAACAGCTGCGCTTCTGTTATCCGGAATTCCTGCTGAAGTGATAAATCGATCAATGGATACTTATAGCAAAATGGGCGAAGTTTTCACAGATCTCTGTGTCTACTTTTTCACTTTTATCTTTTGTCATGAACTGCTTGATTATTTGGGCTCTGAAGTACCATGAAGCCTGCAGAACTCAGAAAGAGAAGCTTACAAAAAAAATTTCTTTTCTATATTGCAGTGACTCTAAAGGAAACATATTGGTTTACACCTTTATGAAATTCTTTTACTTTTTGAGGTTTTAAAACCACTTGATTAGGAATGGAATGGCAGGTTCCCTGACTGGAAAGGGTTGAGTTTGTATTAATACTGACGTGAAGATTAGAGTACCAATGTCAGTAATCGATCTTTCTTGTTTAATTAGAATTCCTAGTCTACACCTTTCCCTAACTTCTCAGATTTGTAATTCCTCTTTGAGAGCTGAGCTAGTGCTTTAAGGAGAGCAGATGAATGTCGTCTCAGCCAGTCCCAAGGACTGAATCTTGTATTTGTATTGTTTTGTCCTGAGAAATGGAGCCATCTTAAAAATAAAATGAAAGAAATTGAATTGTCTAGTGTTAAGTTTGCACATTTTAATTTATAATGGCTGAATAAGGTAGCCAATTTTATCTTTTCTCGTTGAGTCAGTATCTTAATTTTTTTTTTTTTGCGGTATGCAGGCCTCTCACCCCGTGGCCTCTCCCGTCACGGAGCACAGGCTCCAGACGTGCAGGTCCAGAGGCCATGGCTCACGGGCCCAGCCGCTCCGCGGCATGTGGGATCCTTCCGGACCAGGGCACGAACCCGTGTCCCCTGCATCGGCAGGTGGACTCTCAACCACTGCGCCACCAGGGAAGCCCCAGTATCTTAATTTTTATTCCAGCATAAATATTTAATGGAGGAAATGATTAAGATTCATACATGTGAAATTAAAAGGTATTTATGAAATCTTTATTAATTTTAATTTATGAAAAATTTTATTACCAAACTCAGAATTGGAAATTTTTACTTTTGAGTTTTAGATTTTCAGAAGTATGTTTTTTAAGCAATAGGCATAGAATGATTAGATATAAAAATCGAATTTGAAGAATTGACTGAAGTATTCAACCCAATAGCATAAATACTCTTAACTAATGTAGTAACACTGTCATATTTGGAAGGTTTGACTTAAAAGAGTATAAAGCATAAGTTTTTTATCACTTGGTATTATATTTCACTAGTTTTTTTGTATCGTCTGTTTGATTAATTCTTGTGATATAGACTTTTTTTTTTATTACTCACAAAGTTTTTTTATTTTGAACCACAGTGATGGAGAGTAAGTATAACAATTTGTCTATTCGTTTGACTTAGGGTAAGATTACAAGCACACATTTTTCCTAATTCCATACAAATCTAATATGCAGAGGATTGGATAGTATTCTTGAATTTGTCACACTCTCCCCAATCCCTGGGAAGACACTAGGGGTTTTCAATTGCACATTTTATTTCTTCCATTTTGTCACTTTACACATGCAAGTTTTAGTAATTGTAGGTCATTATCAAATTTATTTCAAAGAGAAGACATGAGTATTTGCTTAAGCATGTTGAATAATGTCAAATGGAAATGCAGGTTTATTAGTGTTTGGAATAATTAAGAGGAATTTTTTTTACTTAGAAATTTCAGGGATTTGAAATGTTTATGAGTTAAAACTAGATTGACAGGGCTTCCCTGGTGGCGCAGTGGTTGAGAGTCCGCCTGCCGATGCAGGGGACATGGGTTTGTGCCCCGGTCCGGGAAGATCCCACATGCCGCAGAGCGGCTGGGCCCGTGAGCTATGGCCGCTGAGCCTGCGCGTCTGGAGCCTGTGCTCCGCAAAGGGAGAGGCCACAACAGTGAGAGGCCCGCGTACCGCTAAAAAATAAATAAAAAAAAAAAACTAGATTGACAAGGATGGTTATTGAGGATCTCCCTGGTGGTCCAGTGGTTAAGACTCTGTGCTTCCACTGCAGGGGGCGTGGGTTCCATCCCTGGTCTGGGAGGTTCCTCATGTTGTGAGGTGCAGCCAAAAAAGAAAAACACAACAAAGGATGGTCGTTGAGAGGTGACATCTTTGGCTATAGATTTTTAATCTTATTAGCTGTATAAACGGATGTGTGTACACACAGTTGGTGTAAAAACAGCAAGAGGGTTATGAGATTCAGAGGTAGGTTAGTTAGAATCAAAATCTGCTTTGGAAGCCAGGGCAGTTTGCTAAATAAGTGATGTATTGGAGACATAGTAGACTATAATTACTTCTTTCACCTCTGCTAATAGATAAAAGTAGTTTCTTCAAGGACATAGAAATGCTGTGAACTTACTGTAAATATGCTGTGGGCACAAAAAGCCAGTTAGAATTGTCACGTGAATATGTTCTCTTAAAAGGGAGTTAGAGGTACTTCCCTGGTGGTCCAGTGTTTAAGATTCTGCACTCTCAGTGTGGGGGGCTGGGGTTCGATCCCTGGTCAGGGAACTAGATCCTGCATGCATGCTGCAACTGAAGATCCTGCATGCTGCAACTAAAGACCTGGGGCAGCCACTAAATAAATGAATATTAAAAAAGAAAATAAAACTATTTTTTAAAAAAAGGGAGTTAGAAATGAAGTATCTTGGAAAGAGCTCTGGCCTGGGTATCAGATGCCTGGGTTCTGGTTCCAGTTTAGATTCCAAGAAGATTAGTGATCTGGGATTAAATTTGTTTCCCATGTCTCAGTATTCTCCCTTAAAATCAAGAAATTTGAGTAAGTGATTTAAAAAATCTGTTCCAGCTATATCAATTTTTGCATGGCGTCATCCAGTTCCTTGGCTTCAAATACCGTATACAGAAAGTCCCTGAGTTAGGGTGGTTTGACTTACAAGTTTTTGACTTTATGTTGGTGTCAAAGTGATACATTCGTTAGAAACCGCGCTTTGAATTTCGAATTTTGATCTCTTCCTGGGCTAGCCATCTGCAGTATGATACTCTATAGTGACGCTGGGCAGTGGCAGAGAGCTGCAGATCCCAGTCCATGATGATCCACTTAAAACTGTTCTGCTTTTCACTTTCAGTATAATATTCAATAAATTACATGAGATATTCAACATTTTATTATAAAATAGGCTTTGTGTTAGATGATTCTGCCCAACTGCAGGCTAATGTGTGTGTTCTGACACGTTTAAGGTAGGCTAGGCTAAGTTATTTTTTATTTTATTTTTCATTTTTTTTAGGCTAAGTTATGATGGGTAGGTTAGGCATATTAAAATGCATTTTCCGCTTGCAGTATTTTAAACTTAAGATGGGTTTATCAGGATGTAATCCCATCCTAAGTTGAGGAAGATCTGTATTGTACATTCTATAAAGTGCTTATGACCCTTATCTCTCCAATCTCTATTTCTCCTTTGAACTCCAGACTCATATATTTCCTTTCAGCCATTATCTCCTTCTGGATATCTGGTAGGCAGAAACACTGATTTTCTCTCCTTTTCCCACCAAATCTGCTGCACCCAGGCCTTTTTCATCTCCACAAATTCACCACAATCCAGAGTAGCTCGGATCAAAACCTGGGAGTCATCTTTATTCCTCCCTTACCCTTGCAGTTCACATCCATTTTATCAATTAGTGTTTGGAAAGCTGCCTGTGGAATACATCCAGAATCTGACCACTTGTCAGTGTCTCCACACTCCTTACCTTCAGCCCTCATACAAGCAATTTACAATGGCTCTCATACCTGACCCTCATTGGTGTCCATTCTGTCATATATTGGCTCAGGCCTTCCTTACTCGGCATGGTCTGCCCTGCAGCCACAGGTGGGCAATAAATCACAGAGGAAGAGCAGAAGCCAGTCTTAGAGTCTTAAACTCGTTGGTTTCATTTTTTAAAAATTCAAATTTATCGAGGTAAGATTTACATACAATAAAACACACCAATTTAAAGCATACAGTTCAGGGAACTCACTGGCCGTCCAGTGGTTAGGACTCCACGCTTCCGCTGCAGGGCCCCCGGGTTGGGGAACTAAGATCCCGCAGGCTGTGGGGCACGGCCAAAAAAAAATAACAATAAAATAAAGATAAAGCGTACAGTTCAATGAATCTTGACAAACATCCATGCAATGACTGCCACAGTCAAAATATGGAACTTTTCTATCATCTGTATGTGTAAGAACATAAAATAGTACAGAAGCACGTAAAGTAAGTGAGAGCCTGTCCCCAACGCCTTTACAGCTTTCTGCTAAAACAACATTGCAGCGTAAGTTCCACTAGGCGAGTCGTTCTTCGCCTTGACCGGACTGTACTTCAGAATCACCTGGGAAGCTTTAAAATTCCCAGTGCACTGGAAGCACTCCAGACCAATCAGATTAGAGTATCAGAATGGAACACACGCATCCGTATATGTATTTTTAAGCTCCCAAGCGCAGGCAGTGTTGAGAACCATAATCTTGTGTAACGTATTTTTAGCTCTTCGTCCTCTTCACCAAGTTAACTCCTATTCAGTCTTCAAATCATACCTCAAAGGTCACTTCCTTAGGGAACTCTTTTTCTGAACCCCTTTCCTATGGTAGAATCTCTTTTCTGTTATATTACATCTGCTTGTGTTTTTGTTAATGCCTATGTCTGCCACGCGATTGAAAGCTCGTTGGAAGGTAGAACATGCCTGACACGTAACAATATGTTTAAATGAATGCACGTAGAAATGATGAGAGTGAATGGAAATGTTTGTAGCATCGCTTAGATGTCAGTACACTTCCTGGGGCAGCTCGGGGTTGCTTATGGCGTTTCAGTGCCCCCTGTAGGAAAGACCCTCCCAGGGCTTGCATGGCGGCCGAGGCACCACCCTCTACCGCACCAAGGCGCGGGGGCTTCCGCGGCTGTGCAGGGAAAACCCGGCCGAGGCAACCTCTTTAGGCGCAGCCGGCACTGTGCGGCCTCCAGACGAGAGGGGCCGCTGTGGAACGATAGCCGCTTCCGGCCCGCTTTTTCCTTCCTCCTGCCGCTGGCGCCAGCACGTCCTGTTTTCGTTGGCCGCGTTCGGATGGTGGCTACCGCTGTGGCTGCTGCAGCTTGTTAGTGCTGTTCCTCGCCCGGCGTGCTGAGGGTTGTGCGGCCTCCTACTTTGTCCGGTTCTCCTGCGCGTGATCCCGAAGGGCGCCGCTTTCCCGCGGCCTGCGGCATGGGCCGGGAGTCACGGTGAGGCGGCGCGCTGGGCGGGCGAGCGGGCGAGTACCTTCCTCAGGCGGGATCGAGGTGGCCGCGGGGCCGGGCCTGGCCCGGTGCGACCCCACGTGCGGCCAGCGCTGCCCGCGGCTACTAGAGGGGCTGGGGGACCTCGGCTGAGGCAGTGGGTGTGCTTGGGTCGGCGGCGGGCACAGGGTTCCCTTACACGGCCATCGGCCGGTTCGAGCCCTTGGAGCGGGAACACACCTCCGGGACGTCAACTACATCCCGCCATTTCCGCGGAGCTTACCCGTATCGCCTTAGTCAATAGCGACCTTAGTTGAATTTCTCACCACTTCGCGTTTGCAACATTTCTTTGGCCCCTGTCGCTCTCTACTTTAGTTTTTTGTGCGCGTGTGGTATTTTCTTAATTGAAAGGAGCGTGTGGCCAAACATTTTTACATCGCCTTCAATACTACGTGACTAGGTTTGTTTTGGACTACAGTAAATGCTTGTTGCATGGGCATTTATTTCGCACATAGATTTAAATTTTCTTTGTTTTGTGTTTTTTATCCTTTTTAAACTGAGAACTGGGAGGTTTTATTAGAACTCTGATATCTCTTCAACATTTCAGATTGTTACCTGGTTTGGGACCTTGAGATTTTTATCTTAAATGTGCGTATTTGCTTAATGTTTAGCTGTGACTGAAAGATCATTTATATCTAGGATATAAATAATAAGTAAGTAAGGTAATAGTAGTTTACTGAGGTATAATTAATATTCAGGGAAATGGTCAACGCTTAAGGGTAGAGCTGGTGAAATTTAGCTCATATATGAACCGTGTAACCATCACCTGGATAAAGAGTATTTCCATAACTACAGAAAATTCGTGTAAAGGTCTTTTAAATCTCTGTGAAAGCATTGCTGTTCATCTGGCCACCCAGACCGGAAACCTGGAAGTGATATTTATTTGACTGGTTCTTCTCTCTTGCTGCCTACATCTAATTAGATACTGCACCCAGTCACCATTCCTGCTCTCCCTGACTTAATTCAGGCCCTAATCATTTATTACTCAGACTGCTACACCTGCCTCGTTACCTTCCTCTGATCTTGCGCTCCCAGTTGATTCCACACTGCAGCCAGAGTGACACTTCTGAAATTAACATAAGATTATGGCATTTCTTTGCTTTCATGTCTGTTGGTTCTTACTGCTTCCAAGATGAAGTGAGACTCTTCAGCACAGCCTTCAGGGCCCTTCCCAAGAAGGTCCTTTCTATCTCTTCGGCCTTCTCCCCCACTTCTCTGCCTTGCCTGGCTTGTGTACTAGATTTGCTGTTGCACTTGACATTTAATTAGTCATTAAAATATCCAGAGTTTGACACTTCTCAACAATTCTACACGAGACATTCTGATCCAAGTCAACGCTGTCCCTTACTTGGACGATTGCTGTAGCATTCTACCTGTTTTCCCTGCTTCTGTCCTTGCCTTTCTTTGGTTTGTTCTCCCCTCAGCAGCCAGAATAATGCTTTAAAAATAGTAGGGGGGTTATGTCACGCCTCTGCTTAAAATCTTCCAATAGTTTCTCATCTTTTCTCAAAGTAAAAGAGAAAGTCCTTATAAGACTTTAAGGCTCTCCACATTTGGCTACCATGCTGTACCTCTGACCTCATCTCATGACACTTTCTCTCACTCATTCAACTCCAACCACATCTGGTTCCTTGCTATTCCGTAAACACACCAATCAAGGTTCCTCTTCAGGGTCTTTGCACTTACTGTGCCTTTTGCCTGGAAAGTTTCTCCCTCACATATCTCCATGGTTCCTTCCTTTACTTCCTTCAAACCTCTGAATGGCACTTTATTAGTGAGGCCTTCTCTAATCACCTGGTGTAAAGGAGCAAACTTCCTACCTCCCACTGTCTCTCTTTTTCCTTTACTTTCATCGGTTTTTCTCCGTACCACCAAATACATATTGTATACTTATTTCTTTACTTGCCTGTCCTCTCTTCCTTTACCAGAATGCAAGCTGCTTGAGGCCCAAAGGCAGGAACTTGGTCTCTTTGGCTTACTGTCCTTCCTTCTTTTTCAGGACAGTATGCTGTAGCAGAAGAGTTCATTCTTTCCCCCTACTTTTAAAAAAGTTTACATATAAGAAGTCCTTTCAATGTTTAATTTATCTGCTGAGATTTTTTTTTAGAAAATAATAAAATAAATAAAATGTAATAGAAGCTGTGTTTGCTAAGCTTAATCTTTAACTTAATAATCTAGCCACTATCGGAAGCGATCAGCATCACGGGGACGCTCTGGAAGTCGATCTAGAAGTCGCTCACCCTCAGACAAAAGAAGTAAACGTGGAGATGACAGAAGGTCTAGAAGCAGGGATAGAGATAGAAGGAGAGAGAGGTCTCGTAGCAGGGATAAAAGAAGATCTCGGTCAAGAGACAGGAAGCGTCTGAGGTAAGACATTAATCTCCACAGGACTCTTGATAAATTGGACCTTCTCAGCTAAATCAGGCTTCTTCAAAAATTTTGGACTAGAATTTAGTGGCCCCTTTGCAGGCCCTCTACTTTTACCCCAGCTTGTTTGATGAGGTACAGAAGTGATTTGCCTAGAACAAGAACTTTCAAACAGTATTTTTTTTCCCCTTTCCACTGTCATTTTCAACAGTGAAGTAAAAGCTAATGTAATATGCCATCAGGGGGTTTCTAGTCTAATCCTGTCCCAAGAAAGCTGACCCCTGTCTTCAGAGCAATTGCTAGAGCTGACAGGAGAAGGAAACAGGGCAGAGCCATCTCCATACTCTGTTTGAAACTATTTTAAAGAACTTTTTTAGATTTAACCAAAGAACATCCTAATTTTTTTAAACTTGATTAAATATTCCATGGTACCGCCCAAGCAGCCATAACTTGTAGAGGTAGAAAACAGTCTCTAAATAAAAGTAATCTTCCCCACACCAAAAAAAGATTTCTCATTAAAATGGGAAAGAAGACAAAGTTATACAGGTGCTGTGAACTGATCACAGAAAGAACTTTGACTTTATCTTTTTCAGACATTGGAAGGAGAGATTGCAAAAGTGTCACCTGGTACTTAGGGAAAATATTCACTCGTAACAATGTGGATAACACTAACTCATTCAATTTTATATTATGTGGTACCAGGAACAGTTTCATACAATTCAGTCAAGTACTTGTTAAGTGAAATTGGTCGTTAAAGATTTGGTCTTTGACTTTTTGGTGTGAAAGAATCACAAGATTTTAGAGCAAGAAGGATTTTGAGATTATTTGGGGAAGTCTCCATATTTTACAGATGAGGAAACTGAGACCCAGAGAGTTGATCTGCCCTATGTATGTCACTAATTAATAGTACCAGGGTAGAAATTCTTGTCTCCTAATTTTCATATCTGTGATCTTTCCACAGCCCCATTCTGCCCATCCTTATACTTAGGTTTCAGCTGTCTTTGAAATTTAGATTTTCTGCTATAGGTCATAAATTTCAAATAGCTCTTGTTACATATTTCCTGTTTTTCAACAAACATCGCTTTGAAATTAGTATCATTTATTTCATTGACCACTTGTAAGGACTGGCTTTACTTGTTCCCTGTTTAGCTGATGTGATAGTTAATTGAAATCTGTCTTTAATAATGGTAATAATTAAGAAGCTTCTTTCAGCATGAGGCAGAACCATGGTCTGAAGTAGACGTTCCACTTGGTCATAGAATAAATGAAGTGTCCCCTTTCAGGCGTTCCAGAAGTAGAGAGAGAGATCGAAGTCGAGAGCGAAGAAGATCTCGAAGTCGAGACAGGAGACGTTCGAGGAGTAGAAGCCGGGGCCGGAGATCCCGATCCTCCAGTCCTGGCAATAAAAGCAAGAAAGCTGAGAATAGGTAGGTTGGGAACTGTCTCTCTTCCCTACAGTTTTTTAAAAAAATCTTTATAAATACTGAATTTGGCTGCTGCTGTGAGCTGTTAGCTGAATTATTTCAATAGGTTATAAAGCTTGTAATGCTTTTAGAAAATGCTAGATTCTATTAGTTTTAACACTCATAATGCATTGTTCTTTTATTTAATATCTGCTATTAATGGTCAGAAATGCATTTTATATACATCTTTGTGGGAACTATGTTTTTTCCTTTGAAATTATTTTCTTGGCATTTCCAATGTTGATTGACAAATAACTTTTTTACTCATGGTGTGTATTGCTGATTTGCTATTCATAATGGGTGAACTTTGCTTTTGTAAGTTAAACGTACCTGTTTCCTTAAGATGTCAGTACCATTCAATTTTGAGATATTATTTATGTCTATTAGACATAATACATTTACTCTTTTTGTTTCTCTTGTTAGTGGTTTGTTCTTTGCCATTATTGTTTCTAAAGTGGTGTCACGGGATGTATGGATTTGTTCTGTTTGCTCTGTTTTCTCCATATTAGTTAATGAGGATTTTTTCCATGTCATTTATTTTACTTTATAAATTTTACTTTTATTTTGTCAAGGTCAGTGTAATAATGCCCATTGGGATTATTTTAAATTTTAAAATATAAATTCAGAGAAATGAGTGAAATATAAACATGCAGCTTATTAAATAATTATAAAGCAAGATCCATGTAACTGCCACCGAAGTCAAGAAATAGAACATTTTCTGTACCCCCGGAAGCCCTCCATGTCCCTTCCCTAACCCAGCTCCCTCCTTCCCTATATAAAAACACTCCTGGGGACTTCCCTGATGGCACAGTGGTTGAGAGTCCGCCTGCCAATGCAGGGGACATGGGTTCGTGCCCTGGTCCGGGAAGATCCCACATGCCGCGGAGTGGCTGGGCCCGTGAGCCATGGCCGCTGAGCCTGCGCATCCAGAGCCTGTGCTCCGCAACGGGAGAGGCCACAGCAGTGAGAGGCCCGCGTACACACACAAAAAAAACCACTCCTGACTTTTGTGCTAGTAATTTGTGTCCTAATTGTTTCCTTATAGTTTTACCACCTGTGTGTATAACTGGAAAAAGAATAGTCTAGATTTATATGTTTTTTAACTTTACATGAATGAGTCTTGTCTTCTTTTGCGCTTTTGCTCAACATCGAGTTATCTGTGTTGCTCATAACAGTAGTTTATTCTTATTGCTGAACACTATTCTGTGGTATAAATATACCACTATTTATTTATCCATTCTACTGAGATGGATGTTTGGGTTGTTTTAACTTTGGGGCTATTATGAACATTTTTGTATATATATCCTAGTATACATGTGTATGAGTTTCCCTTAGGTATATATATATAGGAGTGAAGTTACATGGTCATAGAATAAACATAGCTTCATTTTAACTAAGTAATCCGAGATGCTTTCCAAGGAGTTTGTACTAATTATACTTCCAGCAGTATATGAGAATTGTATCCCTCCATACCCTTGCCAGTATTAGGTATTGTCAGTCCTTTTGATTTTTGTTTATTTGTTAGACATGTAATAGCAATATCATTATGGTTTTAATTTGCATTTCCTTGATTACTAATGAAGTTGAACACTTTTTCATATGTTTCTTGGTCATTCAGATTTCCTTTTTTCTAAAGTACATGTTTAAATGTTTTGCTTATTTTCCTATTGGGTTGTTTCTGTCGTTAAAACTTGATTTATAGGGGGGTTTTGTTTTTAAATATTCTGGATAGTTGTTTTTTGTCATTTATGTGAGGGGCAGATATATTACTCTGGTTTGTCTTTTTACTCTGTAATGATACTTTTGAGGAACAAAGACTTAAGAAAGAAGAAACATTCATAAAATGAAGAAAATTAATAAGATGATTGAGGAAAACCTGACAAGGGCAGTGTGAAAAAAGATTATAGGCTATACTCAGTCTAAACATAAAGGATTAGTATGCTGCTTTTAACAATATATAAAAAAGATAATACAATCATAAACTAGTTGGATTTATTCCAGGAATGGAAGGTTGGTTTAACATTGGAAAATCAATCAGTATGATCCTCTACATTAATAAGATTCAAGGAGAAAAGTCTTGGTTATCTAAGTAGATTCAGGAAAAGCATCTTATTAACTTCAACATACATTGATGTTTAAAAGTTCTTAGCAGACATGAATAGAAAAGTATTTGATAAGCTGATTATAAAATTAGGAATGCAAAGGGCATAAACACTTTTGAAGAACAAGTTATGAGGGCTTGCACTACCAGGTATCAAGAGTTGTCATAAAGTTATAGAAATTAAGAGTGTTGCTTTATTGTAAGGATAGACAAGTAGATCACTGGAACCATATAAAGAACTCAGAATCAGATCCACGCATATAAGGTCATTTGATAAATGACAGTGGTGACATTGTAAATAGTAGGAAAAAGATTTTCCAATAAATGGTGTTAGGGACATTTGCTCTCCTTAATAAAATAGGACCGGCTACCTCATTCTGTGCGCAAAAAGCATTTCCAAACAGATTAAAAACCAAATTAGATGGCAAAGCTATAAACTTTTTAGGAGTTTGTACTAGAGAATATCTTCTTTACCTCTAGAGTATCTTCATCAAAGTTGGAAAAATTTCTAAGATGCTTTAAAAAGCACCAATCATAAAGGAGGGAAAAAGGTCAACTAATTTGATTACATTACAATTAAGGGATTTTATTCATTATTAGATGCCCTAAGTAGGGTCAAAATGCAAGCCTATTGGGATTTTTTTTTTTTTTTGCGGTATGCAGGCCTCTCACTGCTGTGGCCTCTCCTGTTGCGGAGCACAGGCTCCGCACACGCAGGCTCAGCGGCCATGGCTCACGGGCCCAGCTGCTGCGCGGCATGTGGGATCTTCCTGGATCGGGGCACGAACCCGTGTCCGCTGCGTCAGCAGGCGGACTCTCAACCACTGCGCCACCAGGGAAGCCCCGCCTGTTGGGATTTTAAATATTATTACATATATCAGTTGTCTTGTAGACTATTAATGTCTTCGTGTATTTCTCCATTTGTTAAATTTTAATTTTGTTATTTAAATTTTGTAATTATTTTTATATGCTGTGTCCAGTTTTCCTTTGGTCAATTTCCAGATATCTAATAATATTTGCAGTTAGTTTCATGGGAATAATTCTTCATTTTATTTCCAAAGTGTTTATTAATGGTATATAAAAATTCAGTTGACTCTTGGAAGTTTATTTCTTACATAAAAAGTAAAATACAAGTCTAAGTATTCTAAAATTAATGTTTCCAAAAACAAATAGATGATGTCCCTCTCTGTCTCTCTCTTTTTTGGTAGGTCTAGGTCCAAAGAGAAAACAGATAGTGGGGAAAGTTCTAAAGAGAAGAAAAAAGACAAAGATGACAAAGAGGATGAAAAAGAAAAGGATGCCGGTGTATGTTTACTAACATAAGTAATCGTATAATATCAAATTTGTTCCTGTAGTGACAAATTCTTGTTTTTTAATGCTGTGTGTTTTATTTTTAAGTAGATGATAATAGATTTGTAAAATAAACAGGTAAAATAATAGTTGTCCCATGAGAAAATTTTTCAGAAAAAAGTTGCATATCTATACAAATTATCTAATTTTATGTGCAAAATGTGATCATACTATATGCACTATTCTGTGCCTTGCTTTTTGTCACTTTTAAATTATGAATTATTTTTTCAATATGTAAGGTCTTAAGAGTAATAAATAGCAGTATACGAACTATCTAACTTAAGAAGTAGAATGCCTTTCTGTTTTCATTTGTTAAATATTGGATATCTTTCTGTAGCTGCATACAGAGGTAGAGCTTGTTGTTTGTAATGCTTGCATAGTGTTTTGTTGAAAAAAAGTAGATGGATATTTAGGCTGTCTCCAGTCTGTAGTTACAAACAATGATATATTAATCCTTGTACACATGTGTTTTGTGAATATAGTATAGGGTAAATTGGTATCAGTAAAATAAATGACTTTGTCAGTGGGTATATATATATATAGCTTTCCCTTAGTATCCTAGGGGCATTGGTTATAGGACCCTTGCAGATACCAAAATCTTCAGATGTTCAAGTCCCTTATATAAAATGATGTAGTATAACTTACACATATCCTCCCCGCATACATTGTCATCTCTAGATTACTTACGATACCTAATATGGCGTAAATGCTGTGTGAATAGTTGTAAACATAATGTAAATGCTATGTGAACAGTTGCCAGCATGGGGCAAATTCAAGTTTTGATATTTGGAACTTTCTGGAATTTTTTTTCCTGAATACTTTTGATCCACAGTTTGTTGAATTCTGAGGATGTGGACTCACAGACACAGAGGGCTGGCTGTATACATTTAACATTTTGATGAATAGTATCAAATTACTCTCCAAAAAAGTTGTATAAGTTTTACGATTTTAGACATATGAAAATGTCTGTTTCTTCACATTCTTGCTAACATGGATATTTCAAAATTTAATTTTTGCCAGTGTAGTTGGTTTCTTGTTATTTTGAGTTGCATATCTTTAAATATGAGTAAATATTTTTAAGTGCTATGAACATAATGTAAACTAATAATTAAATAAGGTATTTTAAGTTTATTTACTATTTGCACTTTTCTTAGAATGCCTAGTCATATCTTTTGCCCATTTTAGAATATATTATAGCTTCACTTTTTTTTCTTTTTCTTTTTTTTTTTTTTTTTTGTGGTACGCGGGCCTCTCACTGTTGTGGCCTCTCCCATGGAGGAGCACAGGCTCCAGATGCACAGGCTCAGCGGCCATGGCTCACAGGCCCAGCCACTCCATGGCATGTGGGATCTTCCCAGACCGGGGCACGAACCCATGTCCCCCGCATTGGCAGGCGGACTCTCAACCACTGCGCCACCAGGGAAGCCCTCTTTTTTTTTTTTGAGTTCTATTTGTTTAGTGTTTTTTTTTTAAGGGACCTGCTTTCTGAGCAGTGTATCTAAGAAAAGGTATAACACAAGAAGTCTGGGAGTCTGGTTTCTGATCTAGTTTCTACTAGTCTTGAATGAGTGGGTGATCTTGAGAAAAACACATAAGCTTTCTGGGGCTCATCTTCAGAGAGGATGGAATTATAAAGGATATAAATTCAGGATCAAAGCTTTTTGTTTGTTTAAGAAATAAACTTACTATGTTAATACAAACATAATATAACTATATTATAAAATACTTGGAAAGTCAGAAATAATTCTCTGTAATCCTAGGTGCCCAAAATGCCATCATCATTATCATTTATTAATATTTTCTTTGACTTTTATACATGTGTATTTCCATAACTACCTGTAAGGTAGCGTGTCTAAAATTTTGATTTCTATAATGCTTAATCTTTAAGTCCCTGATTATGACTGTGCAAATGATTTGCTCTCTCCTTTTAAGAGTATTATTAATAATCTTGATACAGGGTTTAGAATGGCTGTTCCTAGGAAACCTAGACCTAAAGGCTAAAAGATCAAAACTTCTTAATCATGTTGATAAATAGCTTTCATTTACTCAGTAATTTGTAATAGAAAATTGATTTTCATGGAGGCAGTCTTGGAGGAGTTTGGAGGATTTAAAGTTGAGAATAACTAATAACTAGGGAACTTTGCTTGCTAGTTCATTTAGTTTCCACTTAGAGGGAGAAATTGAATTCATGTGTGCATATTGCTTGTAACTAAAATGAGATTAATTTATGGTGTTTGAAGTGTGTCTGCTTTCTTAGTTGAAGATGCTTTTTATTGTGATTTCATTTTGCTAGTTTATTCCTGAATATATTTAAAAGATGTATGATCTAAATCTGGTCTAAATTTAGGAGTTTTGTGTACATTTATTTTCAGGAGTTTTGTGTACATCTATTTTTCCTTTTTTTATACTTTGGAGAAGTTATCTGGAATGTCACTTGGAGTAAAATTGTTGATCCTTATTTCCCTCTCTCTATTTCTCTTTTTTTCCCCTAAGAACTTTGACCAGAATAAGCTAGAAGAAGAAATGAGAAAGCGAAAAGAAAGGGTAGAGAAATGGCGGGAAGAACAACGTAAAAAGGCCATGGAAAACATAGGGGAACTGAAAAAGGAAATTGAAGAGATGAAACAAGGGAAAAAGTGGAGTTTAGAAGATGATGATGGTATATTGATTTGTTAGACTAATAGACTATATAACAATTCATGTAGAATATTCTAGAATTATGAGTAATAGGCCATTTTTATTGTGGAAAAACATAATGTTTACTATTTTAACCATTTTTAAGTGTACAATTCAGTGACAATTAAGCACATTTGTGCACCCTTCACCACTGTCCATTTCCAGAACTAAACAAAAACTCTGTATCTCATTCAACAATAATTCTCCATCCTGTCCCCCTCCCCCCCATTTCTGGTAACTTCAAATCCACTTTCTGATTCTGTGAATTGCCTATTTTAGGTACCGCATATAAGTGGAATCATACAATATTTGTCTTTTTGTGTCTGGCTTATTTCACTTAGCAAAGTGTCTTCAAGTTTCATCCATGTTGTAGCATGTCTCAGAATTTCCTTCTTTTTTAAGGCTGGATAGTATTACATGGTACATATATACTGCATTTTGTTTACCTATTCATCTGTTGCTGCATATATAAGTTTCCGTCTTTTGGGTATTGCGAATAATGCTTCTGTGAGAATTGGTGTGCAAGTATCTGATTGAGTCCCAACTTTCAGTTCTTTTGGGTATATACCTAGAAGTAGAATCACTAGTTTCATTTTGAGATTTTTAAACGCCCCTTTAATGTTTACATTAAATTTTAAAATTGTATAGTAGTGTTTGGTAAGGATCACTGATTTTACCTTAGAGTGGAGAGTTAGGTGCTTATGGGCATAGTCAGTAGATAGCTCTTTAATTTTTTACTTCCAATGTTAGTAATGAGGGTAAGTTAAGGGCATGTTTTCAAGTCCCTCTGATTTTTTCATAAATTATAAGAGAAACATTTCCCCTCCACATCTGATATTGATGTTTAAGATTTTAGTAAAGTGGAAGAGTGTGAGATATTATAGGAAAAGGGAATTTTGCTCCATTTTCTGTGAAAATTCCTGTGAATTTTTCATTTTCTGTGAAAGTTGAACTAAATAGATGAATGGATTATACCTTTAAGTGGTGATGATATCTTAGTTATGTAAAAAACATTAGATTGTCTTTAATTAAGAATGTGCTATTATTTTTTCTTTGTGTCATTTAAAGAAAGATAATTGCAAGAAATAAACATACCATTTTAGCAGACAGAGTTTTTAGTTCTGCTTCTGCTAGTGTAGTTGTAAAACAATACTGGAGATCCATTTTTTAGACATATTAGTCTTTCTTCCTCTTTTCAGTTTAATAATTTATAATTTATTTCTTTTATTAGTATTATTCAAAACTAATACCTGCTGGATTTAAAACCTTGCCAGTGTGAGTATTTGAACTGCGTTGTGCCTGTGTTAATTGGTAAGGAAGGTGTTTGGGTAGTAAGAGAAAAGGCTTTAATTGGGGGGGGTGTGGTCTCATTGTGAAGAATTTCCTTTTGAAACACAAATTCAAAGAAAGTGTATTCTGATATTTTAGATGATGAAGATGATCCTGCAGAGGCTGAAAAGGAAGGAAATGAAATAGAGGGTGAGGAGTTAGATCCATTAGATGCTTACATGGAAGAAGTGAAAGAGGAAGTAAAAAAGTTTAATATGAGAAGTGTGAAAGGTGGTGGGGGAAATGAAAAGGTATGGAATTTTCTCCTATTTTTAAAGATTTACATTCCTAATTGGGTAACTTGAATTCATTGGTGCATTGACCTACTGCTGACGTGCATGGCTTTATAAAGTTAATGATTTTGTTTCCTTCCCCATCTCAGAAGTGTCAATGCTTTTCTCAATAGCAGAGATACTCGTGAATTTTAACTGCAAATGTGCTTTTAGAAGTCACTGTTAACTGCCATCATCTTTGTTTAGTATTTTTTCTTACTTGTTGCCTTCTCAGTAGGTCCTCTTCAGTAGGTCCTCTTCAGTAAGCCCTGAATAGGTCCTTCTCCAGCACTCCCATCTTTTATGCTCCTGATCCTCTTTACTCTAGTTTTTCTTTTTCTTAATAGCATTTATTACCTTTTGAAAAAGTATATAAATTAATTTTTTGTTGTGTTTATTCCTTCTTCTAAAACTGTCCCAAGAGCAGTGATCTTTACCGTACCTGTCTTGTTTATTGATTTATCCTAAGGTCCCAGAATAGTATTTGGCTTGTTGAATGAGTGAAAAGTACCATTTAGTAGTATTTTTAAAATAAATTATATTACATAATATTATATAAAATTATATATTATATACTGCATTACCTATATTATTAATGTGTTACAAAATATAATGCAATTGTATTACATTTAAAAAAAATTAAATATTTATTTGGTTGCATCGGGTCTTAGTTGCGGCATGCAGGATCTTCGTTGTGGCGTGTGGGCTTCTTTAGTTGCGGCGTTGTGGGCTTCTCTAGTTGTGGCGTGCGGGCTCAGTAGTTGCGGCATGTGGGATCTTAGTTCCCCGACCAGGGATCAAACCCACATCCCCTGCATTGGAAGGCAGATTCTTAACCACTGGATCACCAGGGAAGTACCTACATTTTTAAATCCAAGCAAGTCAGTAAGGAGAAAGCAGACCACTTTTTGTTTTTTCATTAGGTTGTCACTAACAACTAAGTTAATTCAAATTATAAATTGTGACAGTTATCATTGTGTTTCATTTGGTGTATAATTTGTGTTTCAACTTTACGTTTTATATTCTTTTTTTAGAAGTCTGGGCCAACAGTCACAAAAGTTGTCACTGTTGTCACAACCAAAAAAGCAGTCGTAGATTCTGATAAGAAGAAAGGTGAGCTAATGGAGAATGACCAGGATGCCATGGAGGTAATTATTCATTAATTTTTATTTATTTATTTATTTATGGCTGCGTTGGGTCTTCGTTGCTGTGTGCGGGCCTTCTCTGGTTGTGGTGAGTGGGGGCTACTCCCTGCTGCGGTGCATGGGCCTCTCATTACAGTGGCTTCTCTTGCTGCAGAGCATGGGCTCTAGGCGCCCAGGCCTCAGGAGTTGTGGCACGCAGGCTCTAGAGCACAGGCTCAGTAGTTGTGGCACATGGGCTTAGTTGCTCCGCAGCATGTGTGATCCTCCCGGACCAGAGCTCGAACCCGTGTCCCCTGCATTGGCAGATGGGCTCTCAACCACTGCGCCACCAGGGAAGCCCCCTTCATTCATTTTTGACTTTGTTTGCGATACTGTCCTAGAAGTATTTATAAGAAAGCATTGATGGAAGTGTGCTTTTCAGTTACTCTTAGGAGAAATTCTTGCTATTCTCAACAGTATTGTAGCCGCATATTCAAATTGGTAGAACATTCTAACATCTTTGACCTCTTGCTGTATGCCCACTTTTTTTTTTTTAATTGAAGTATAGTTGATTTATAATACAATGTTAGTTTCAGGTATACAGCAAAGTGATTCAGATATATATATCTGTCTATAGGTATATATACATATATATACACATACACACAAACATATACATATATACACACGTGTGTGTGTATATATATATATATATATATATTTTTTTTTTTAGATTCTTTTCCATTTTCGGTTGTTACATGATATTGCATATAGTTCCCTGTGCTATACAGTGAATCCTTGTTGTTTATTTTATGTATAGCAGTTTGTGTCTGTTAATCCCATACTCCTAATTTATCCCTCCCCTTCCCCTTTCCCCTTTGATAGCCCTAAGTTTGTTTTCTGCGTCTGTTTCTGTTTTGCAAATAAATTCATTTGTATTATTTTTTAGATTCCACGTATAAGTGATCTCATATAATATTTGTCTTTCTCTGTCTGACTAAATTCACATAGTATGATATTCTCTAGGTTCATCCGTGTTGCTGCACAAGTGTATGCCCACTTTTTGATTCCCGCTTGTCCCTCATCAGCTCATCCCAGGCATAGGATAGGGAGAGAAGAAATGAAGTGACAGAATAAATTAAACTTTTTTTTCCTATTAGCACTCATTGTAAAGATTTATATAGAGAAAACTATAGGAAAACTTTATTAAAGCTGTGTTAAAATTATTTTTTTATTTTAGCTTTATATTGTTATTACAGCTTTCTATAAGGGCAAAGAAAAAATAAACTAAGTTGGAAAATTCAGAAAATAAAGTAAAAGCCAAAGAATATTTTCTAGGAGAGGAGGATCTTTAAAACTAGGAATATTTCTTCCCATAGGAGAAAGTAGTAATGGATTTAGCTCTTAATTTTTCTTTTTTAATTATAGTATTCGTCAGAGGAGGAAGAAGTTGATCTTCAGACTGCCCTTACAGGTTATCAGACAAAGCAGAGAAAGCTTCTAGAACCAGTGGATCATGGAAAAATTGAATATGAACAATTCAGAAAAAACTTTTATGTTGAAGTTCCAGAACTGGCAAAAATGTCTCAAGAGGGTAGAATTTTTTTATTCATTTATTGGTTATTGTGGGAACAGAGGGAGTACACTTCACCTTGCCTGGGAGGAATGTTGATAGGCCTGTGAGTTGATGCATGAGTAGGAGGAATTTGCCTGGCTTACCTGGAGAAATGAGAGGGAACTAGAAGGCGAGAAGTCATTCTAGAGGGAAGGACAACATCCGCAAAGATTTGGAGCAGTGAGGAATTAGTGTGTTTTTGGAAACATTAAAAAAAAATGAGGAAAAATTAGTTTGGCTCATGTAGTTGAGATTTTTAGCATCGAAAATACTCTTCATGTGAAGTTAGCAAATAAAATATTGTTAACCTTTTCTGATATTTGAGAGTTAGGAACCAATGTGAATCTGTGTGATATTGATAGAATAAGGATAATCTGGGCAACCCTTGCTTAAAGAACAAGTGGTTGTATTACTTGTCAATCATTGTTCTTTTATTGCTGGTACAATTTAAGTCAAAATAAAAGCCAAATTGTAGAAATTGGAGTGTTTCTTTTGTTCCTAATTGGTTGCAACAGTAATCGCTTTAGTTGTCTCTCTGAGCTGTTCAGTGCTTTGTCACGTAGCTTTTCTATGGAATTATCTTCAGGAGCACTAGAAAAGAATTGAAAGGAGCACTAGAAAAGCACTAGAAAAGCACTAGAAAAGAATTGAAAATTTTTAATCTTACCATGCCTCACTGAAAAGTAGAAGGCACTATTAGAACAATATTTAAGAGTTTTTAATCTGGATTTTGTTTTGTAGAAGTGAATGTATTTCGGTTGGAAATGGAGGGCATTATTGTCAAGGGAAAAGGTTGCCCCAAACCAATTAAATCTTGGGTTCAGTGTGGGATTTCTATGAAGATCTTAAATTCTCTCAAAAAGTAAGTGTTCAGTAGTTGTCCACATTTTTCAATATCTTGCTACTAAAAATAGCCGTTTACGCAAATAATTTCTCTGTTTACATTTTTACTCTAATGGGAAAACTTGATTATTTTTTCTTAAACAGCTTTATTGAGATATAATTTACATACCATAAAATTTACCCTTTAAGTGTACAATTGGATGATTTTTAGTATATTTATGGAGTTGTGCAGTCATTACTGTAATCTAATTTTAGAATATTTTCATTATCCCCGAAAGAGGCCTGGATCCATTAGTAGTCAGTTTTCTCCTTTCTCCTCCACATTAGGCAACCTCTTATCTACTATTTTTATAGATTTTTCTATTCTGGACATTTCATATAAATAAGATCATACTAATATAGTCTTTTGTGACTGGCTTCTTTCAATTAGCATAGTATTTTCAAATATTTCTACATCATGCATGATGTAGAATGTCTCAGTACTTCATTCCTTTTCATTGTATGGATATACATTTTGGAAAACTTTTATTTACAGTTTGAGGGACCCAGAGATCACAGTTCTTACCTTGTCTTCCTTTGGTTTGCTTTTTAAGGCATGGTTATGAAAAGCCTACGCCAATCCAAACCCAGGCGATTCCTGCTATAATGTCTGGACGAGATTTGATTGGTATTGCCAAGACAGGAAGTGGAAAGACCATTGCCTTTCTGTTGCCTATGTTTAGACACATCATGGATCAGAGGTCATTAGAAGAAGGAGAGGGGCCAATAGGTACAATTCCTTTCATTAAACTATTTTTTCAGTTAACAACTTCGTTGTCCGTTAATCAGAAAGACCTGATGCTTTGTAATGTTAATTATAACAATAAAGATGTCTTTATGTACATTTCCTTTATAAATTTGGCACTTTGGGGCTGATTTCCCCTTACCAGCAGGTGGAGTGAGAATCTTCAGAGCTCTGGAGTGACATCTCAGAAGTACAAAAACAGCCTCTCCTGGCACAGCTCAGTTTTTAAACTCTGACTCGGCAGGTAGACTCCTCGTGCATCTATCTGTTTATTTATGTTGAGGTTTGTTCTTAGCCCGTATCAGTGGATCTATCAACTCAACATAGAAGATTGTAGGGAAGTGTATTTTTCTCTTCTTTCTTTTTTCGGCCTTAAAAGGCTGTAGTGCCAACATTTCATTCAGGATTAGGTCTTTAGATTCAGTTTTCTTGATTCATTTGGCAGAGATCTGTTCTCCAAATTTGAGTAGGGTTTTGGAAAGTTGTTCAACTCCTCTCTTGGCAACAGAGGGCACAGTATATTTCTTCTCTGTCTGTGCCCCTCAGACCAAGGTTGTTTCCGGAAGCCACGGCATGGCTCTTCAGCACAGTGAGTCACTTGATTATCTTTGCTCTGTGATTTGCAGTTGAGAATGATTTGCATTCTTTTCAACCAAGTATTTTCCTGATGGTTGAGTAAAGTATTTAACTCTCATTTATCTTCCTATAGCATGTTCTTAAAACCTTCTTAAAATTATCCTTCACCACAATCTCTGCTATTACAAAACTTTCGAAATAGGATTTTCAAAGGTGCATAAAACAAAACAAAATTTAGACTAAGATCTGAACTTGATTGCAGAGGTTAAATTTAACACTATAAAGCTTAGCCTCTCAAGAATTTTGGTGGTTAGGCTTTTGACATTTATCTTTTCAGCTGTCATCATGACTCCAACTCGAGAACTGGCTTTACAAATTACTAAAGAATGTAAGAAGTTTTCGAAGACCTTGGGCCTTAGAGTGGTCTGTGTTTATGGAGGAACAGGAATCAGTGAGCAGGTAGTTATAAAAGGAACATTCAGTTTTTCCAGTCTTTTTAAAAATTGAATGACTTAATAATGTAAAAGTGATTTTTTGCTTTAGTGTTTTCTGTATTGATTGCTTCTAAAATCTTTAAAATGAGGTGTGAAAATAATAGTAAGAATGAATTATGTTAAAGTTATATTTTAGAATTTTTGAGTCATTTTCATATCTTAGCTTTCCCGTGCTTGTCTTTCCCCGCTCAAGGAAGCAGATTATTTTTTCCATTTTACAGATGTTCAGAAAGGTTAAGTTGACCAAAGTCTTTAGCTTAGTAAGACTTTGTCCTAGAATCTAGGTCTTATGATTCCTGGACGAACATTTATTTTCTCTAATCTAAATGACATCTTTAAAAGGTGGTTTTGAGTGGGATGTATTAATATCAGAGTTTCATCTGCATTCTTAAATGATTTTAGTGAGAATTATTTAAACATACCTTCATTCACTCTCTTTAGATTGGCATTTCTCCATGTGTCTTCTAAAGAATGCTAGTCATCAGATATTTTGCTTTAACTAGAAGAAGGAAAAATACTGGGTTCTGTGGTCAAATAAGTTTTGGAAATGTTGGACTATGCAAAGTTAAAATTTTCTTTTCTGCAAGACTTCTTAGTTGTTAATAAGCTAATGTATATTGTGATGCTAGAAAAAAATGGGATAAATTAAGTGGCGTTTTCTGAACATATTTAACCCCCAAACCACCAGGACTTCTCAGATTTTAGACACATCTTGGGAATATTTGCTTTTGTTATCCCAATGCTATTTTAAACGCTTGAACTTAGTTTTCTAAGTTTATCTGTGTCAGTTTTTTTGGCCATAGTCTGTAGTAAATACAGTTACAAAATAAGGTGGTACATGCATGCATATTTATATAGAAGTCAAACAAAGTTTTATAATGTCTAACAAAGTCTAGTGTTTTCCATTCTATTTCATTTTTAAAATGCAGGTTGTGACTTACTGATTTTGTGATTCACTAATGGAAACAAATCTCAATTTGAAAAACATTGATCTATCAAATTTCTTTATTTACTGCTCTCTCATATTCCTTTCTTGGTTTTGAGGAGTTGTGTCAAATTAAAATTGGTAAAAACCTGTGGTTTTCATTCAAAGTTACAGCATCATGTGGTCTTTCTGCTGCTTCCTATTCCTTTATTAGTGCTCCAGCATTCCAAAGAATTAAGCAGGAGACTTTGGTGTCTTCTAATCAGACCTGGCTGTCTTATGTTATGGAGCTCTGCAAGGACCTTAGTCAGTATTTTCAAGTTTGTAAAGAAGCATTAGTGATAAATACACTATAAAATTTCATCTTTTCTTATTAGATTGCTGAGCTGAAAAGAGGTGCTGAAATTATTGTTTGCACACCTGGTCGAATGATTGACATGTTAGCAGCTAACAGTGGTAAGTCAGGGGTGTTGGGGTTTTTTTGTTGTTGTTGTTCGTTTTTTTGTTCTCTTTTCTCCTTTTTGAATTCTGTACATTTTTGTTAAAGCAGAAACAAGAAACCACCAAAGGTTTCTACATTTCTTCTTGAAGCTGTAATATCTTGAAATTTGTATTGTAACAAGCTTTTGTTGCAAGTATTCATAATATTTTTGCAATTTAATTAAAAAAATTTTTTTTCACAACTACTCCATCTGATTTTTTTTTTTTTTTTTTTAGCACTTAACATGGATTCTTAATTCAATTTTGGCCTAGCTTTGCTTCTAAAAGGGTGGGGGACTATTTCTTTTTAATTGTACAATTTAGACATTTTCTCCATAGGAGCTAGTACTTTCTTATGATACTAGATAAGTTAAGATCTTGCAGCTTCAAGAAAATTTATCTTTTGTAAATTTGCATGTTTTTAGCTCAAATATTGTGCTTTGTTAAATTATTCCCTATCAAAACTGTTACTAAACTGTTGACATTATTTAACTTCTGTGGAGAAAGGCCCTTCAAGATTTATAGAACTGGGCTTCCGAGACTTAAACCATCAAAGGTAGGTAATTTAATGCTGTTCCCAATCTTGCAAAACTAATTGGGGCTGCACATGTTAGTATGGAATACTTAAATATTAGAAAGCATTTATTTTGGCACATTTCTGTTTTTTGAAGAAAATGCTTTCAAACGTTTCCATTGTAGTATTCAGTATATATATATCATAGAGTATTTAAAACTTTGAGTAATGCATGTTTCTAATAGCATTTTGCTTGGATTTCTGTGTACTCTTAATTCTAATTCTACATGAAGTTGGTAAAGTGACATTGGTATTGATAAGTCATTGTGCTTGTATAGCATATGAAAAGTTTTGGGTTGAATGCTAATGAAATAATTCCTTGTTTTTTCTCAATGCTGCATTGATTGTCTCCTCCTGAAATTCATCTTGATTAATTTTATCTTTTCCCTTTATCTGTCCTTTTGGTTTATATTTAATAACTGTTTTATACATGTTTTTGCCAGGTGATTGAATCAACAATTGATAGAAATGCTTGTGTTAATCCTTTAGAAAGGGTTTCCTGTCTATATATTTAGTTTTTTCTGGCTAAGAAGCCAGTTGCATTTATTTAAACCAGTGGGAGCACTGTGTAAAATAGGATTTGTATCTTTGTATAGAAAAATGTATCTATGTAATACATTGATTTTTAAAATTTTTGTGTAATATGTTAGTTACCTAGTGATATTGAATAGCTTCTTATTTATGTTTTGACATGCCCGTTAGAAGCTTCTAACTGTATATAAGTAGGTTATGTACTACATAAAGTATTGTAAAGAGAGATTTTCTGCGTCTGAAGTAGTTAGCACTGGAACTTGCTTTCCACACATACGCTGTAATCTCTAATATGTTTTTTCCTAGGTGATGCTGTCAGATAATGGCTGATGTGGCTCGATGCTCCATCTCAGTCTTAGTTTTATGATGTGTTTTGGAGAGGGCTGTTTTCTGAATTTTACAGGTTCTTCAGGCCCTATGATGGTATGCAAGAGACGAGTTTGACAAAATAAAGGGCCTCATATACCCATTGTCAGAAAGTATTTGCCAGTAGATAAGATATTGTAAACCAAAATTTCTTTTCACTGTTTAAAGATACCTAACTCACCCCTCTGGTTAAGTCAGGCATTTTAGTTCCCTTTACAGTTTTTTAAAGATTTTGGTAGTCATAAAATGAATCGTGACTGATTTTTAGTTTTCTTTTTGTCTTTATTTTTTTTCCTCATGTTAGGTCGGGTTACAAATCTTCGAAGAGTGACTTATGTTGTTTTAGATGAAGCAGACAGAATGTTTGACATGGGTTTTGAACCACAGGTATTTATTAAATTTCTTAGTGTTTTGAACTATAAAGTAAACCTTGTAACTGCCATGAGCATGAAATATTTGTATGGTTTCTGAAATTCTCACACACATTTCTGTTGTGTGGTGATACAGTGGATTGAGGACATAGGGAATTGAAGTAGATATTTATGTTTTGGATTCTTCATTAAACTTGTTCAGGAGGTATTTGTGCAGGCTTTCCTAAGCCATCTAAAACCATCATTGGTAAAATTAGAAGTGGAGTCCTAATAGAAACTTAAGCTTTCATATTTTATAGTTTTCATTGTACTTCCAAATAAATTGCTTTAATTCATGCTTTTCACTACCTCATGATCTAGATAGCACAGGTTGTTTACATTCTCCAGATGTAAAAACTAAGGCCCAAAGCATTTGTCTAGCTTAGATTTAATATTCTTCATGTGTGCAGTTTTGTTCAATACAAAATTATAGTGATAAAAGCCTAAAGGCTACACACACACAAAAAAAAGCCTAAAGAAAAACATGTTAAAAGGTGGTAGAGGGGCTTCCCTGGTGGTCCAGTGGGTAAGACTCCATGCTTCCAATGCATGGTGCCCAGGTTCGATCCCTGGTTGGGGAACAAGATCCCGCATGCATGCTGCAACTAAGAGCCGGCATGCCACAACTAAGACCCGGCGCAGCAATCAATCAATCAACCAGTCAATAAGTAAATAATTAATTAATTAATTTTTTAAAAGGTGGTAGAAATTTTTCTTAGCAAGAGGAGCTGTATGAGTAGTCAATGGGCTATGGATGCCAAAAAAATGCTTTTAAATCACAAACTGCAGTAATAGAAATGGAATATTGGAAAGGGATATGGTTAAAGTGTTCATTCTTTTCCGTTTATTCATGTATTCTCCAAAAATGTATTACCTGCCATATGATAGTGCATGTATTGTGTTTAGATTTAGGGACCACATTCTAAACGAGATACAGAGGAGCATATAAGAATAAACAGGACTATGGTAATACCTGAGCCGAGAAACAGTTAAAGGAATGAGGAATATTTAGCTTGAAGTAGGGGATTTGGTAGCATCCTTTAACTCTTTGAATAAAGTCTATCACATGAAAGAAGCATTAAATTTATCCTTTGGGTCCCAACAAGTAGGACTGGGATAGTGGGGAAGCTATAGGGAGCTTGATCTGAGCGTAATGTGAAAAAGGACTGGATAAGCATTTTGGGGAGATTAAACAGGTTACTTTGTAGGAGGGAGATATTGAATATGCTTTTTAATTATGTGTTCTAGTAGAGACAGCAGGTCCATTTGTAGAAAGAGAGTAGAGGGAGTTGAAGAAGTCAGGTGGAATATGGAGCTTGGTGCCCTTTCCCAGTCAGTTCAGTGGTTTTTATCGTATTCCTGGAACTTTACAACCATCACCACTATCCAATATCAGAACATTTTCATGCCCCCTCACCAAAACTCTGTCCTGATTAGTTGCTTTTGTTTTGAGTCATATCATTGTGAATTTTAAAAAATCTCCTTTTTATAATGTTTTGTCGTTCTGGAGGGTGTAAAAATAGATGCATGTGTTCAGTCTTTCATTTTTAACCAGAAATTGATCTCATGGCTTTTTCTTGGTGTATTCCTTTGTTTACGGACTGCTTTTTCAGTAGAAAGTGCTTGAGGTACATTCTTTGAGTCTTTGCATGTCTGGAAAGTCTTTGGTCTACCCTCACGTTTATTTGACATTTAGCCAGATATGAGGTGAGGATTATTTTCCCTCAGAATTTCTTTTTGTCTCCATTGGTTTTCTTTCTTCTTTCTCTTTCTTTTCTTTTTTTAAAAATATTTATTTATTTATTTATTTATTTGGCTGCGCTGGGTCTTAGTTTCGGCATACGGGATCTTTAGTTGTGGCATGTGGGATCTAGTTCCCTGACCAGGGATTGAACCCGGGCCTTCTGCATTGGGAGTGTGGAGTCTTAGCCACTGGACCACCAGAGAAGTCCCTCCATTGGTTTTCTTGAGAAATTCAATGTTACTCAGTTATTAATCTTTTGTAGTTTTTGTCTTGAAACTTTTTGGATCTTTATCCTAATGTTCTATGTCATTTAGGCTTGTTTTCTTCAACTAGTGTCCTGACTACTTCGTGTGTCTTTCCATCTAGAAACTCAAATCCTTCCGTTTTGAGAAATTTTCTTGAATTACTTTTTGATAATTTCCTTCTCTTTGTTTTCTGGAACTCTTATTATTTGAATGTTGGACCTTTTGGACTCATCCTTTTATTTTCCTAATTTTTCTTAAGTATTTTGCATCTCTATCATTTTGCCGTACTAGGAGATTTCCTAAACTCACAGCTTTCAACCTTTCTGTTGAATTTTTAAATTCTGCTTTCATAGTTTTAATTTCTAAATGTTCTTTTCTTTTCTCTGAATTTTAATTTTAAATGGCATCCTGTTCTTGTCTCATAGATACAGAAATTTCTTATGTTTCCCTGGATATTGATAGTTTTTTGAAATTTTCATCTCCTTGCATAGTCTCTTTCTCACTTCTTGCTTCTTTTTTTTTTTTTTTTTTTTTCCTGTGTTTGCCAGTACATTTGAAAGCTTTAGGTTAAACAGATACAGGAACACTAAAATAGTCTTACATTTGTTAAAGAAATCAACTTTTAATTTTCCTACAAGGAAAACACAAGTTCCTGACTATTTTTCACTAGCAAGTTGTACCAGACATTCAAGGAGTAAATAATTATGTTCCTAATCATACTTTATTTCAAAGTATAAAAAAGAGGGAATACTCATCAATTTATAAGGTCATTATAATCTTTTACTTTTAAAAGAGCTCTGTTAAGGTCTAATTATATACCATAGAACTCACTTTGTTAAAGTGTGTAATAAAATGGGTTTTAGTACACATACAGGTTTTTTCAGCCATCACCACAATTCAGTTTTAGAAGATATCTTTCACCAGAAAAATGTCTTGTGCCTGTATGCATTCATTTCCTATTTCCACCTCAGCCCGAGGCAGCCACTAATTTGCTTTCTATCTTAAAAGATTTGCCTTTTCTGGACATTTCATATAAATGGAATCTTACAGGGAGTTCCCTAGTGGTCCAGTGGTTAGGACTCAGTGCTTTCACTGCCGTGGTCCGGGTTCAGTCCCTGGTCAGGGAACTAAGATCCCGCAAGCCGTGCTGTTGGGGGTGGAGGGGGTGGAGAATCATACAGTATACATCTAGCTTGTATTTATTTCACTTATCATATGTGTTTGAGCTCCATTCGTGTCCTAGCATTTGTCAGTACTTTATTCCTTTAATTGCTCAGTAATTAATATTCCGTCATATGAATATATGTCATATTTTGTTTCTCCATTAGCCAGCTGATGAACGTTTGGATTATTTCCATGATTAGGAATAATGCTGCTAGGAACATTTGTATACAAGTCTTTGTATGGACATACTTCTTCGTATATTTTGAATAGATTACCTAGGAGTAGAATTCCTGATTGTATGGTAATTTATTTATTTATTTTAGGCTAGGAAAGCCTCAAATAGAAGAAAGCCACTTTTTTTTTACATCTTTATTGGAGTATAATTGCTTTACAATGGTGTGTTAGTTTCTGCTTTATAACAAAGTGAATCAGTTATACATATACATATGTCCCCATATCTCTTCCCTCTTGCGTCTCCCTCCCTCCCACCCCCCCATCCCACCCCTCTAGGTGGTCACAAAGCACCGAGCTGATCTCCCTGTGCCATGCGGCTGCTTCCCACTAGCTATCTGTTTTACATTTGGTAGTGTATATATGTCCATGCCACTCTCTCACTTTGTCCCAGCTTACCCTTCCCCCTCCCCATATCCTCAAGTCCATTCTCTATCAGGTCTGTGTCTTTATTCCCATCTTGCCCCTAGGTTCCACATGACCATTTTTCTTTTTTCTTAGATTCCATATATATGTGTTAGCATACGGTATTTGTCTTTCTCTTTCTGACTTACTTCACTCTGTATGACACACTCTAGGTCCATCTACCTCATTACAAATAGCTCAATTTCATTTCTTTTTATGGCTGAGTAATATTCCATTGTATATATGTGCCACATCTTCTTTATCCATTCATCCGATGATGGACGCTTAGGTTGTTTCCATCTTCTGGCTATTGTAAATAGAGCTGCAATGAACATTTTGGTACATGACTCTTTTTGAATTGTGTTTTTCTCAGGGTATATGCCCAGTAGTGGGATTGCTGGGTCATATGGTAGTTCTATTTGTAGTTTTTTAAGGAACCTCCATACTGTTCTCCATAGTGGCTGTACCAATTCACATTCCCACCAGCAGTGCAAGAGTGTTCCCTTTTCTTCACACCCTGTCCAGGATTTATTGTTTCTAGATTTTTTGATGATGGCCATTCTGACTGGTGTGAGATGATATCTCATTGTAGGTTTGATTTGCATTTCTCTAATGATTAATGATGTTGAGCATTTCTTCATGTGTTTGTTGGCAGTCTGTATATCTTCTTTGGAGAAATGTCTGTTTAGGTCTTCTGCCCATTTTTGGATTGGGTTGTTTGTTTTTTTGTTATTGAGCTGCATGAGCTGCTTGTAAATTTTGGAGATTAATCCTTTGTCAGTTGCTTCATTTGCAAATATTTTCTCCCATTCTGAGGGTTGTCTTTTGGTCTTGTTTATGGTTTCCTTTGCTGTGCAAAAGCTTTGAAGTTTCATTAGGTCCCATTTGTTTATTTTTGTTTTTATTTGCATTTCTCTAGGAGGTGGGTCAAAAAGGATCTTGCTGTGATTTATGTCATAGAGTGTTCTGCCTATGTTTTCCTCTAAGAGTTTGCTAGTTTCTGGCCTTACATTTAGGTCTTTAATCCACTTTGAGCTTATTTTTGTGTATGGTGTTAGGGAGTGTTCTAATCTCATACTTTTACATGTACCTGTCCAGTTTTCCCAGCACCACTTATTGAAGATGCTGTCCTTTTGCCACTGTACATTCCTGCCTCCTTTATCAAAGATAAGGTGACCATATGTGCGT